TTACGCACATTTCTAGTTTTGTCCGTACGCCATGTTATAGTGTGAATTCTACGCACGTTGTTATACATGAGGCCCCTGGTCTTTACCTCATTTTCATTGAGTAACAGTGGACCTGGCTCCATGAAACATCCCCTGGTTCCTGCCAAATAAAATTTTAAAAGCTAGAAATCACCTTGACTGGGATATATTTATACTCTACACATTCACTGTTTCACACGATCTGAGTCACACATCTCAAAAGCCAGAAGGAGTATTTCTTCCAGTTACTTCATGGCTTATAAATTTTCAGTTGAATAGTTGAATCTAACAGTTATTATGTTCTGCTCTATATTCAATACAAACCTGACACAAACCTCACAAGTCTAGCACTCATCATGAGTAGCTTAAAGATGGCAGTTCACTTAAAAGCCCTGGACAGTAACACAGTACAAAAAGGTGGCAGATATTATATGTATAATATTGTCAAATATCATACACTGCAAGTTGCTTATCATTGCTAATCCATGTCTTTGCAAAGTCATTTCCACAAATCCTACAGGCCACATGTGTGCATGGCATGAAAATGAAGGATGCGCTTGTAAAACAAACAATAAACAAAACCCAACTTCCGAATGCAACCCAAAGCCAACTTACCTATGTACAAAGAAAACAAAACAAAATGACAAATTCAACACCTTACTCCCTATACAAACAGCAGCATACAACATACGTTCACAAAACAAAATGGCAGTCACTCCCTACACACCTAACAGACAGAACATGCACACAGATCAAAGCGATAAAGCCTGATAGCCGCGCGAACATGTTAACCAAAAACTGGGTGAGAGTTCGTAACCAAATAACAAATGAACCAAATAGCAAATCAACCAAAACGAAAGTACAGAAAAAGCGAAAATCAGAAATCCAATAAACCAAACAAATCATATACAGTAATATCAAGCAAAGAAAAGCAAACCAACGACAGCAATAAATGAGCAGAGTTCTCGAAACTTCTTGCTTGCAGCTTTTCACTTCTGGGAGATGGAAGTGACGGATGTCGCATACGGAGAGTCGTGGGTGGGGGTCTGGACATGGAGGCAGAGCTAACAACGAATGGAGGCTGATCTAAGAAGACGAGAGCTGTTGGCGGAGCTGAAGTTACAGCAGGTCAATGCCAGTAAGCCCCAGAACAACAACAACCCTGGTTGGAACAATTGGTTATTCTGTTCTATTTTGGTTGGTTCTATTCAATTCTATTCTATTCTACATTATTATGTTGAATAATATAGAATAAAATAGAATATAGAATAATATAGAATAGAATAGAATAAAATAGAATATAGATGTAGAATAATACAGAATAGAAATATATTCTATTCAAAATTATATATCTATATTAGTCTATCCTGTTCTATTCTATTCTATTATGACGAACTTGCGGGCGACTATGTTGCCTAGAATTAATCATTGTCCTCCTGTTACTGTCATACATATGAGGTGAGGTATTGATTGATTCTGATCGTGTATGGACTGATCATCCTGAGATTCAGATACGTCGTCCATGATTCACCTATATTATTGTATTAAGGTTAAACTGCATAAGCATGTTGTTTTTTAACTTACTGATCACTTATATAACTTGTTTTTCACAAATGACACAAATGGCTTGCTAAAGACAGGGCAAGGTGTTGCTCAATATGTTTTGCACACCACTGGTCAGTGTACGAGATACCTGCCTTGTCTTCTCTTTTGAAGAGTCTTCAAAAGAGAAGAGAAGGCACTGCTCATTGCTATTTTTGATTGAAGCCGTGCCTAGTGGCAGGAAGAAGGGAAAGCATTGCCCAAGGATACTTGTCTAATTATCTTTGATTGAAACCGCACATAGTGGTCAGTGTGTGTAGGACGCTCACCCCATCCTCAGGAGGAGGGGGGGCACATTGATTACAGTTTTTTCCAATTGCTAACACACTAAAATGACATGCATAACACAATTATTTAAACTGACACACAGAGAGCAAAACCTCTTTTCAAGTCACATGTTTGTCATTTCAAAACACTGCCATTCAAAATGACACTACATGAGCTAATTGGCAAATATATGTGCCACCTGGCCAAACACCTCAATGGTTAATTGTTATCACTTCAATCAGGAAGTAAGCACTATAAAAAGACCACAGGTGAGCACTTTTTTTTTTTTACAACAATGGAAGACATTGCAGAGAGAGGAAGGGTGAGGATGAGAGGGGGAGGAAGAGTGAAAGGTAGACGTAGAGCTGGTAGAGGAATTTATGGCCAAAGAAGACAACTTTCAAATGAAATCAGAGCAACCTTAGTTGATCATGTCATCAACCATGGGTTGACAATGAGAGAGGCTGGACATAGAGTGCAGCCCAACTTGAGCCGTTTTACTGTCGCCGCTGTCATCTTGACATTTAGACTGGAGTGCAGGTATGTAACCAAAATTTCTTTCACACTCTGTAGTACACCCCATGTCATAGTGTATCAGTTCGGTGACACCTGTTTACTTCATGAATTGCTGATGTCATACACTAACTGTACAAGTTTCCTGTACAATTTACTCTACTGTGGGGAAATATCTTTAGGCTGCATTGTCCAAGCCCTTTTTTTGTTTTTTTTTGCTTTTCTAAAGGACTGAGAGATGCAACCATGGTGGAGGAAGGGGCCAAATGTTCACCGGGGTACAAGAAGCTGCCATTGTAAACTTGGTTTTGGAAAATAATGAAATCAGATTACGAGAAATTCAAAGCCACATCATCCAAGACAACAGCATATTCAACAACATTCAACAAGTCAGTCTGTCCACATTGGCTCGCATTCTCAAGCGAAACCAAATCAGACTGAAACAACTATAAAAGGTGCCTTTTGTGAGAAATTCTCAGACACAAAGAGCTCAGACGAGCATATGTGGATGTAAGTACAATATTGACTGCAGCACACTACACGCAACATTGTTTCGCAGTGTACTGGATAACACCATATTGACTGATTTATGTTCTTTGTTCTATTAGAACAAAGAACATTCTATAATCTAATAGAATAATATAGAAGAGAATATGGAAAAGAATAGATTAATATAGAATAGAATAGAACAGAATAAAATTGAATAGATTATGGAATAGAATATAACAATAGAATAGAAAGGAATAAAATAGAATAATACTGAATATTCTGTTCTATTCTGTATTATTCTATTCTATTATTTTCTGTACTATTCTATTTTCTGTATTCCTCTATTCTAGTCAATTCCATTCTATTCTATTCTATTCCAAAGTGAGAGCAGACCCACATGCACCACCTTCAAGTCTTGTTATAATTTCCTTTTTAAGTTCTACAGATACCCTCACTGCTTTCCTCTTTGGTTTGCTGTTATGTTCACTTTCATAGGGGCCATGATTACAATATCACTAAACGTACTGTAGATAAAGCACTACAAAAATCACACCAAACACAGGAGCACAGCTTTTGTACGTTCAACTCAGTCAAGAGGTAACTGACAGTGATTCATAGGCATAAGCTTCCCAGTAGATCCGTTTGCGTGTCAGCCCATCAAAGATGCATCTCGATTTGTACAAGTTTTAGCAGTTGCTTTTTTTTTTTGTCGTGTTCCGAATTTTCAGTCGAACCGTAGATAGATTTTTCTTGACCAGCCCATTCGAGGTCCGAATTAGTAAGAATTGAATGCGTCTCGACCCATACAGGAACGGTCAAGTTCCAAGATAACGATCGAGGAACAAGTTGGCTGTCTGATGTCAGTAAGTTAAGAGGTGTTCGAGATCAGAACACAAGAACACAGCTCCAAGGTTCTACTATACTGCAAAACATCTGACAGAAATAAAGATCAGTAACAACAAACATTTCGGCCTAAAAAGTGGCAATATGTAACCTGTTTTAGAAGCAGCAGATTTAACATTCTGCACATATTTAAAGTATTTGTCTTTTATGTTCTTCTGACATGTCCCAAATAAGTAAGAGTTGCTGTTTGGATGAATGTTTTTAGAAGTTGAATCATTTGAATTTATATTACATGTAAAACAACCATTGTATTTGCATCATTGTTGAAGTTTTGTTGCTTAATTGGTGTTAGAATACCATGTGACCTACAATTTTAATGATTCTAGATTATACATGCACATTTATCTAGTAAATGAAAACAAACAGTACAGTACTATCATAAAGGCAACCTTTTACAGGAAGCTTTTTTTTTTTTTAATGTTTGCAACAGAATAAAATAATTTTGGAATTTGGTGATCAGTGTTGACACCACAGCACACAACGAAATGGGTCCTCTGCATTTAACCTATATGTGACATCGCAACATAGCAGGGGCTAGCACCCAGGGAGCAGTGCTTGGGGTTGGTACTTTGCTAGTCAGGGATTCAAACCAGCAATCTTTCAATTACAAATGCACATCCCTAACCATTAGGCCACCACTGCCCCGTATCATTTTGGGGTATTTTCAAAAAGTCTTAGTCTTTCTTGTAATGAGTTGTAGAAAGGTAACTGAAAAGAATGCAATTCAAACCCTTTTTTGTAAAACTTTAGCCAATATAGTACACTTAAACACTGTGCAATAAAGAGAAATTGACTTACCTTTGCCTTCAATATAAGTTTCATAACAACAAGAATGTCTTATGAGGAGAGGTTAGCTGAGCTGAATCTGTTTAGCCTTGAGCAAAGGAGACTAAGGGGGGACATGATCCAGGTCTATAAGATTCTAACAGGTCTGGATGCTGTTCAGCCAAATGGCCATTTCAATATGTTTAAATACTAGAACTCGTGGCCATAAGTTGAAACTAGTGGGAGAACATTTTAAAATGAATTTGAGGAAGCACTTCTTTACACAGCGTATAGTTAGAGTATGGAATAGTCTTCCTGCTAGTGTAGCGCAAGCTAAAACCCTGGGTTCCTTTAAATCAGAGACTATGGGCCGAATGGCCTCCTCTCCTTCATAAATTTCTTATGCTCTTAACATTTTAACAAAAGACTCAGACTCACCACAATTAAAGCTCATGTGATGAAAATTATTCTTGTTCAGATGCTTACACAAAGTTCACACAAAATTTTGGAAATAATAAACTACACTATATAACATTCTCATGTAGCCTCCTTAAAATTAAATATTTCATGTTCCCAATCAATTAATGTGCAGGAATGCCACCAATTCTGTCATTTTCCACCAACACTGACATCTCCATTTATACTCCTAGACAAGGAAAGGGCTTCTGTGTACTCCGCTCTGTGTCTTGCATGGGGTCTGTGGTCTGCAGCCAGCCTCTGACTGTAATGTCAGGATTCAGACTTTTTCCCCTCAATTCTCGGAATTTTATTTCACGTAGCCTGAATCCTCTTCTGTAAAATACACAACTGTGTAATTTTTCCACAGTTTATAAAACTGCTTTGCAGTCAAAGACTACCTTCAAAATATATTGTAACTAATAAAACACTGCCTTTGAATATTTGTCAAATCTTAAATATCAACAGGACAGAGGGGGACCCAACATACAGATATTTCACAAATACAATTTAGAAAAATTCAAGAACAAACTTATTGGACTGACTGTGATAATGAACTGTCAACTGAGTGGGTCTGGTGGTGCTTCTCAATGTGTCCTAATCGAGATAATCACTGGGAGCACTGGTAGGGCCTCTCTCCCGTGTGAATCCGCTGGTGCTTCTTTAGGGTTCCTAACTCACTAAAGTTCTTCCCACACTCGGGGCACTGGTAGGGCCTCTCCCGTGTGTGAATCCGCTGGTGCTTCTTTAGGTGTCCTAAATGACTAAAGCTCTTCTCACACTGGGAGCACCGGTAGGGCCTCTCCCCTGTGTGAATCTGTTGGTGCATCTTTAGGTGTCCTAAATGACTAAAGCTCTTCTCACACTGGGAGCACGGGTAAGGCCTCTCTCCTGTGTGAATCAGTTGGTGTTCCTTTAGATGTCCTAAATGACTAAAGCTCTTCTCACACTGGGAGCATGGGTAGGGCGTCTCCCCCGTGTGAATCTGTTGGTGTATCTTTAGGCTTCTTGAACGACTAAAGCTCCTGCCACACTGGGAGCACTGGTAGGGCCTCTCTCCTGTGTGAATCCGTTGGTGTTCCTTTAAGCTTCCTAAATGACTAAAGATCTTCTCACACTGGAAGCACTGGTAGGGCCTCTCTCCCGTGTGAATCCGCTGGTGCTTCTTGAGGATTCCTAACACACTAAAGCTCTTCCCACACTGGGAGCATAGGTAGGGCCTCTCCCCTGTGTGAATCCGTTGGTGTTCCTTTAGTTGTCCTAAATGACTAAAGCTCTTCTCACACTGGGAGCACCGGTAGGGCCTCTCCCCTGTGTGAATCTGTTGGTGTATCTTTAGGTGTCCTAAATGACTAAAGCTCTTCTCACACTGGGAGCACTGGTAGGGCCTCTCCCCCGTGTGAATCCGCTGGTGTATCTTTAGGCTTCCTGAATGACTAAAGCTCCTCCCACACTGGGAGCACTGGTAGGGCCTCTCTCCTGTGTGAATCCGTTGGTGTATCTTTAGGCTTCCTGAATGACTAAAGCTCTTCCCACACTGGGAGCACTGGTAGGGCCTCTCCCCTGTGTGAATCCGTTGGTGTTCCTTTAGGTGTCCTAAATGACTAAAGCTCTTCTCACACTGGGAGCACAGGTAGGGCCTCTCCCCCGTGTGAATCCGTTGGTGTATCTTTAGGCTTCCTGAACGACTAAAGCTCTTCTCACACTGGGAGCACTGGTAGGGCCTCTCTCCTGTGTGAATCCGTTGGTGTTCCTTTAGGTGTCCTAACTGATTAAAGCTCTTCTCACACTGGGAGCACTGGTAGGGCCTCTCCCCTGTGTGAATTTGCTGATGCCTCTTTAGTTGTCCTGAATGACTGAAGCTCTTCCCACACTCAGAACGCCGATGGGACTTCTCTGTGCGAGTCTGCCTGTGTATTTTACAGTCTCTGTTCATATTGAAAGTCTTCTCACCGTGGGAACCCTGTCGTACTGTCAGTGTGTCTGTACTGGCTTCTTCCAGGGTACTGAGTGTGTCTGTACTGGGCTGAGCGGCACTGGGGCCAGCAGATGTTAGTGAATCTTGGGTTGTGTTGACAGATCCAGTCCTCAGCTGTCTGACATACTCCTTGGGGTGAGATTTCTTGATATATCTGTGCAGGTCAATGTCTGCAGTGTAGGAGAATGGATCCTGAGAGCAAGCAAAGGTTTGGGAGGATTCATCCACTCTCCTTGCTGAGGGAAGATGGAGACACGGCAGTCAGTACTGAGATGGAACAGGGTTAATAGAGAAAAATAATCAGGAAAATAGTGAATATGGCAAACATATCTTCCAAAGAGCCTTTGTTACTCGATATGCAGTTCATATTCACAGTGTGCTATTCACACTGCAATCTCTGACATGCCTGAACTGCAGAGCATCAACACTGCTGGTTTGAAATGGCAACTTGAAGCACAAACTATTACCTCCAAATGTACCAAAACAATTGCAGTTTTGATGGTATATGTTAATAGCTAAAATCACCTGGGTTTGGAGGTTTCACACACTCTTTGCTCCTCCCATCAGTGTGTAACGAAAGAGAACCAGTCAGCTCCTCCTCATTCACATCCTGAACCGCTGCACCATTCATCTTCAGCCATAAAAATCAAACAAGGCAGAATAAGTATACAGGCTGTTGCTATTTGCTTAAAAGAGAAATAGGAGCACAGAGCAAACGAAAATAATTTTCAAGTCAGACAAACTACATTTATGTCCTTTTTTGGCATAACTTATATTCAGCTGCTTTTGAGATTAACACACAAAAATTAAACCACCTCAGAATGGACAAGTGACATTTGTGAAGAGACCCACATACACTCCATTTCACCTTTCGGGGGCTCTCGTTCACAGTCCCTTCAACCTCAGATACCAGGAATTCCCCCTCCTCTTTTTTACCCTCTTCGACTCCCTGCTGGGAAGGTTTCTGGTTTGTTTGGCAGCTGGTTTTACTGCAGGAAGGCATCTGCTGAAATCAAAATTAAATTAAACACTGTGAGACTGTGCCAGTTAATCAGTATGTTGTAATGCACAGCCAACAACTGCTTGTGTTCCGCACAAACAGACCCTCCTTCCCTGGTCTGTGGCATATGACTCTGACCCCACAGCAGGGGTTTCGTTCTGATCGGTCCACCAGAATACAGGTTGGAAAACTCCTGGATGCTGAAGACACAAATGAACATTTCAGGCACACTGCGTCACCCTAGGGCAGGGGTCTCCGGTCCTGGAGAGCTACTATCCAGTAGGTTTTCTATCCTACCTGGCTTCTGATGAGCCACACTTGGCCCTGGTATTTACCTGAGAACAGGTGTGGCTCATCAGAAGCCAGATAGGATAGAAAACCTACTGGACGGTAGCTCTCCAGGACCGGAGTTGGAGACCCCTGCCCTAGGGTATATCCACAACGCTCCTACTTAGTGTTCTGGTCATCTATAGGTGCTTTCAACATTGCTGGAAGTTTTTCATGGAACCAGAACCAGTTAGCCCGATTGTAGTTCCTTGGAGGCAGTTCCAGAACTCTTTTCTAGTACCTACTCCAGACTAGGTATGATTTGCTCAAACACAAACTACTGGGGAGGCACTTAGAGTGATTAACTTGCTGAATGGTCGACCACAAGCACCAGCGCAAACTTGGAAGTTACATGGAAGTGCAGAAAATGAGATGCAGCAGAGCAAAAATTGAGCAGACACAACGACACTGAGAAGCCACTGCACCCACAGGCCATGTCAGATAAAACAGGCTGTCGTCAGTTTTAGTTGCCAGTTCTCCCCCAATTGCCTTACCTCATCTGACAAACTCATGCCTGAAGTCCTTTCCATCCTATGCAGCAACCAAGTCCACGTTCCCACCTGTAATGTGTAATAAAATGTCAAATATGCAGAGGTGGGTAGGGACGCTATACTTAATCAAGTAACTTGTTGGGGTAGGGTAGCACCGCTACACTGACGTAGGAGTTTAATACTGGTAGAGGCGGTCAATATGGACAAGATTCCGTTCAGAGAATCTGGCTCCAGAGGGGATGACTTTAAAGGCAGAATTTATTAAATGGAACTTGTGAAGCAGGATATACAATGGGTTATAAAACGGAATAATAATGGTAAACCTGGTATGTAGATGGATGTGTGTGTGGTCTGTGGAAATAAAACCAATACATTCAATCACATAGGTGGCTGACACGTTATAAGCATAGCAGGAATAAAGCGCGAACAGAAATCAACCTTACTACATTAACAAACCTACCAGTTTAAATGTTTACTTAAATAACCGGTAATTAATAATAATCAAAACATAAGCAATAGATTCCGAGCTCCATAATCCCCGTAATTACAAAACCAAGCAACACCAAAGCAAGCCGTTGAGTGGGCACACGTACATTACAGGCGATCATTGCATTAGCATATTAACATTGCGAACGCACTACCATACAGCCCCCAAAACGTAAACATAGTGCTGTACAATGAAAATATAAGGCAGTTGCGGTCTTACAAACAATATAAACAGAATCGCGAAGTAGCGAAGGAAATTCCAGTTACAGTACTTACATTATATTAATTGACGCACAACATCAGATAAATGAACTAAGTGCAGGCGCATTAACGTTTCACTGCCGTTGTGCCAATCTATAATGACCGGGTGGGAAACCTAACTAAATAACCACGTTCCCACAACAGCCTTTCTAACATTCAGTGTAATCAGTAAATATTTTGTAGTCTTACTCTGCAAAATGAAATTCATGCTCTCCTGCATCTCACCTTTTGTCGACTTATTTGAGGCTGTTACCAGTGGTATTCAGCCATCCCATCAGTATCGTTTTACCCCCCAAACCATTCCAGCTCAAACCACAGCTGACATCCTTGCAAACCACACCCAAGATCGATTTCATTGGATAACAGTATGAGAGCATTAATGTTAATCCAAACCCTAGCGCGAATGTATGCCGCAGTCCACTTTTATCCTTGACATGAGGGAAAGCCGGGGTCCCGCTAGACAAAGAAGCCTACTCCGGCTAAGAATAACTCAGTTTAACTGACAGCAAACGTAATTGGGCTCAGATAGGGAACACGGGTGTAAGGAATCCACTCGCAGAGTCTCGTTTCAGCAAAAGGGTGGTTTATTCAACAGAATAATATAATACAGTGTAGACATACACTAGGTATTGAAAGACAGCTCAAATACAAATTAAGGACAGTTCTTCACCCCCTTTATACCCCAAAATGCCCTCCCCAACAAAGTGCTATGTGTAGGTGTTGCGAGTCCAAGAGTGACCTCCTGGAGTGTGAGGCAGTCCTAAGGCAGGAACGGGACAGGATTGAGACTTCCCCGTCTTACCGTGAGATCAAATGGTAGCTCAGCCACTTCACTGGCCACTGTAAATTCAATTACTTCCTAATCACCCTAATGGTGCCCACTGGAACCCCCATTCTCTCCCTGACCTCTCCCATGTTCATAAATTGCTAACACTGTATTCAAACGATCAACCAAGAACATTGGGGATCTTTACTACTTTTCCTTACACAGGGTTAAAGCTTGGTTTAACGTGGGATTTAACATGCGTTACAGAACGATTTTCTACACTTACCACCAGGCTCCAATGATCTTAGCCAAAATTTTACTGACAAATTCAGATGCTACACAAAACACAGCTTCTATTGTCAATAAAATAAAGTGCTAGCCACACGAGGTTTTTTTAATTCATATATAATTTTATTTTTTTGCCAAGTACGGTATTTATTTTACATTTAAAGAAAACAGGAAATGCAAATGACGGAGTATTCTAACTTTGGGCAATATAGATAATAACCCACATTTATTTATACAAAGAACCACTTACAATTCTGACTTTGCAATGTTACGGCTAAAGATAGTTTTCCGTGACCGTTTATTATTCTCCATACTGAGAAGAGTCACATCCATCTTCCGGCTGCTAGCAGTCTTCCGCTTTCAGTTCATATCCGCACGTGCTGTTAGCCAATGAAACCTCCCCAATGAGTGTCCATGCTGTGGTTTTCCCGTGTTGATTTTGATCAATAGTCTTATTTGCACACTTTATGTTTCTTTTATTTGGAGAGAATATTTCAATTTTAAATTTGATTCTTTAAATTATCTGTGCTGTTGGTTAGAAAAAGCCCGCAACTGTATAGCTTAATAACCAATTCTGATTTTTTAAAACAACTCGCTACTCCAGTAGTCTTTTTTCTAGATACCCTTTTACTCTCACTAAAGTAGTGAGATTGGGGAGTACTTTTACGCCGACTTCAGTTGTTATAATATTGAAGTAACATTACTTCTACTCGAGTACAGAATTTGACTATTCCATTCATTTCTGCAAACATATAAGCATGTTTTCCGTAACTAAAAGTCTCCCGGTATAATGTGAAACTAGCTAGCTACATTAGCAATCACAACTACGAACCCATCCCCCACAAACGCCTTACCGTGCCGCAAATGCCTCCTAATGTCAGTGACTAGAAAGTTTCCCCAAACGGTATTGTCCTGCGTGGCAGCCGTAATTCAACAACCGTATCAATTCAGCCGCAATTAAACCCACGACTGTAATGTCCGGTCACCGCTTCAGCCTGACGGGATAATGGCGGTGCCTCCCCATCCTTTTGAATGCACTAGCTCCGCACGTCGCGTCCTGATTGGAGGGCAGTGTAGGCGCGCACCCTCTGTCCGGATTACTGAATTTTAAATGCCATATCAATGCAGCACGCAGGCAAGTATGTCTCGCGGCGACCTGCGGGAAAGAGGGGTTGGACATCCAGCTCCGCCCACATCCAACCCGGCCTACCTACGTCACCCCACGAGCCCGTCAATCATACCGTTCATTCATCCTCTGATGTTCTCAAGCAGCATTTTACAGTGTTTGATTTACGCTTTAACCCGGCAGTTTGTTTTACAGTAAACTTTTTTTTCTTTTTAGTAAGTGGAAAGAGTACGCTCTAAAATAAAAAATAAAAAGTACAGTGTAGTAAATACATAAACCAATAACAGCTGTTTATTATCAATTACAGTATTATTACTAATTATGATTTTTATAGTGGTATAGGAGCACCCTCGTATATGCAGTCCGAAACGTCGCTATAAGAACATAAGAAATTTACAAACGAGAGGGCGCTATTCGGCCCATCAAGCTTCCTGAATGAAGCTTGATTCATTCAGAACTTAACTAATAGCTAGCTCAGAGTTGTTTAAATCTTATCTAGCTCTGATTTAAAGGAACCCAGGGTTTTAGCTTACACTACACTAGCAGGAAAACTATTCCATACTCTAACTACATGCTGTGTAAAGAAGTGCTTCCTCAATTTTGTTTTAAAATGTTCTCCCTCTAATTTCCACGCGGCGCATGATGGTGCTTCATTCATGGTCACAACAGTCACATGGTGGGCACATCAGGACTGTATTTAAACGTTTTAGGACTGTCTACCCTTGTTTATGGCGCCTGTAGGATGTCCAGAATATAGTTTCAATCCGATATCAATCTAATGCAGGGGTGTCAAACTCATTTTAGGGTGAGGGCCGGATGAGAAGAAATGTGACCATGTGCAGGCCGAATTTATTATTATTTTTTTTTTAATCATAGTGCATCAAATTACAACAAATACACTATATTCTGTAAAACTGCATTTAACAAGTCCTCAGAAACTGTTCATTAACACTCTTATTCCTTTTTAATACTACTACTACTAATAATAATGGTAATAAAAAAGATTTGATATTTAATACTATTGTTCAAATCATCCCGCGGGCCGTATTGAACACCATAGTGGGCCGTATTCGGCCCGCGGGCCGTATGTTTGACACCCCTGATCTAATGCTTGTCTGTGTTGATTGGTTAATATGCTGATTGGTGTATAAATATCCCAGCCAACATGTCCACATGGACCCCCTTTGTGATTTGCCTGGGCTTCTTGGGTTGTAGATGGACAAAATCATGGGCTGTTGCTAGGACCCATATGGGCTAACCAGTGCATTAGCTGGGTTGATTCTGGGTCAGCCCACATGGGCTAATTCATGAAATGCACTGGGGTCCCAATTGGGCTTACCCTTGTTATAACTGGTTTTTCTACAGACATACCCAAGTGGGCTCCACATGGGCTAATTCATGAACTGTACTGGGATCCCAAGTGAGCTTACCCTTATTATAACTGGGTTTTCTATTGACAAACCCAAGTGGGCTCCACATGGGCTAATAAAAATATTAGACAATTTGTTTGTTAGAGACATTGCTTGAAACCTATGCTGATCGTGTGTTTATTTTGTTTTAATATGTAATTGGTTAAATAGGTTGATTGATGGCGTTTAGACTTATCGCTGTCTTTAGGACATGGCAACTTTCATTCAAGTTTAACCCTTTGTTTACTTGATATGATTTTTTTTCTCTAAAATAAGCCTTTTTTTGTAAATAGCCCCTACGCCGTGGGAGCCTGCGACCTGAAACCTAGTACTAATTGTAGTTCCACCTGAGGCCTATTGGACACAGTAACTTTCATTCGATTTTAACCCTTTGTGTATTTGATATGATATTTTTTCTCTAATTTGGTTTATTTCAATAGCCTGCGACCCAAAACCTGGTGCTAATTGTAGTACTACCTCAGCCCTGTAAGACACAGCAACTTTTGTTTGTATCCTTTCAAGCACTGTATATGTATTCTTATTGTGAAATTGTGTCACCCTAATGATGTTCAATTTTAATAAAACCCACTATATAGAACCTCTAAGAAATTTTCGGAAAGTTACTGACACATCCCACCCCTCCCCTAGTCAGACGACTAAGTGACTGCACCGGTCCCGCTGCCTTTAATACCTGGATCGCCCCCACATTCTGTGTCAGGTATTGTTGTTTTCATGTGACCTACTGAGCTTTTGTTCTGTGTTCTCAGCATCTCTTGTGCCTTACCTTTATAGCTCCCATCCTTCCAAGTCCCCGCTTCCCTCGGACCTTGCTCATCAACACATTCTCACACCCGGCGCGTAAAAAAACAACGCATGGTCAGAGCCCTTTGGTACTGAAGGTCTCATTCAGTGTCTAATTGAGAATTTTTTGCTCACAACTAGTCCTGGGACAAAAAATTTAAATCAGAACCATAGCAAGGGTGGATGGAAATGTAGTTTACAGATTATTGAAAACAGCAGGTTGATTAGGAAGAGATGACATGAGTTATGTACATTATGGATGTATATTAAGGATGTAGTGGTGGGATATCCTGATTGAGAAGTCTTACAGTGTGGGGTTAGAAGCTTCTTCTGAGTCTCTCTGTTTTTGTGCCTTAATGCTCCTAAAGCGCCTGCCTGATTTCAGCAGCTCAAAGAGACAGTACCCTTTGTGACACAGACTGTACTGTCACACACACACATATACATACACACACACACATATACACATACACACACATATACATACATACACACATACACATATAATAATAATTAATACTTTATTGATCCCAGTGGGGAAATTGTTTTTACGCCTCCCTCAACTTGCTCTTTTGTAGAGTAAGTTGTCCGCGAAGGGCAGCCACCTGTAGCAGCGCCCAGGGACCTGGGGGTTAAGGGTCTTGCTCAAGGACCCACAGATGTGCTGAGGCTGGGTTTGAACCTGCGACCTTGTGATTACAAATACAC